CATTGCTCCGGTCCAGAGACGGGCTTTACTCACCACCATATCAGATCTACGCGTAGTGCTTCAAAATCGTGAGGCCCAATATTCGTAACTTCTAACCTCTTAGCCCAAAACTCCTAGAACCCCAAACCTCTGAAATTCCTCCTCAGCACAAACCTTTGTTTTGCGCCATTAGATTCAAGCTTCTCCTCTGAAAATGGCTTCCTTAATCCCAGAAACAACCCAGAAAATCTTGACCCATGAAGCCCCTGGTTCAGCAGCCAAGCAATCCACAGGCTGCCTCGTCGTCCCGGTTCGCCTTCGTCGCGCCATTAAGAAGTACGTCCGAGGTACGACCATCTTTACATCTAGCTCACAATTTCCACTTTTGCAACTTACAGTTTTTTCTTTTTGACCAAATGGGTATTCAATTATTGTAGAGGAAGCGGACCCTTATATGAGGAGGAAGGTGCTGAGCTTATCGCAATCTTTTAGCGGGATCAAGGACGTTCATCTGCACCTCGCCTCATCCACATCCAAGGAGCTTGTTGAGGACCCTTTGAAGTCTTTGGAACGTTCAAAGAGGTGGATAATCAAGAGCTCTTGTGGAGATATTGGTTTTAAGTAAAGTGATGACCAGACAGTGGCTTATGTTGCTTCACGAATGCCTGCAGTTAACTCTGCTTGTTATTGGGTTCTTAGTGAGGTATCATAGTTTGTGAAGTGCTGTGCATAATGGGACTTTGTTTAAAAACTAAAAATACTCAGGTCAATAATCGCCAAAGATCAGTTATTTCTGGGTTTATTTTATGGAAATCGGATTCCTTCAGCTCCTTCACTTATTGGCCATAGTTATCAAAATTTATGGCTTGGTTGGTTATTACCCTGTTTTCAGGTTTAAACATTTTGGGTTGCCACAACTGAAGATAAAATGTCAATTGGATTTATGTAGGGTACTAGGTTAGGCAATGATTCTAGTTCTCTAGGTAGAGATGATAAGAAATTTGGGATATAATAACTTTATAAAGTGTCTCCAGAATAGAAGCTTCTTGTCAGCAAACAAAGCTTTAATCTAGAATCTTTCGGGGATTTATTAATTTAGGATTTTGCTAGGTGCGTAGTAGGTTGCCAGATTTTTCTCCCGCTAAAGTGTTGGATTTTGGGGCTGGCTCCAGTTCAGCATTCTGGTGAGAAATTGGTCTTGGTTTAATTAATAATTCTTATTTTTATTTTAAAATTTTTTGAGGTTATTGTCATTTTTACAGAATTGAGTTGCTGATGTTGTAGGGCATTGAGAGAAGTTTGGCCAAAGTCTATTGAGAAAATAAATGTAGTGGAACCATCGCAATCCATGCAGCATGCAGGTCGAAACCTAATACAGGGTAATTGCATATCTTCATTTTTTAATTGGCCAATTATTATGTTTTTGAGATTAGTTTATAGGTGCTTTAGAAGTTGTTTGTTTATTGCTAGAGAGCGAATTATTCAATTCATGTTGCTCCTGGCATAATACATTTCTATAATAATACAGGTCTAACAATCTAACTTAAAATGGTTATGAATATTGAGGTGACAAAAATGTAATGACATGCATGTTTGTTTAGTCATGCTTTCTTTACTCTATCGAATAATATTTCATCAATGAGAATTGTAATGTCTCTGTTTGGGTGTGGAAACTAGTAGTAGAGAATACTTCACTTTCTTAATTTTTCCATTGATTTGTGTTTTATAATCATAGATATGGGTTGTTTATCAGCTTATATGGAGGTTTCCTTTAATGCATTGAAGAGATAATGATGATTAAAGAAGTTTCTGAGATTCTAATGGCATTCTGTTATGATTGCTTTAGGTCTGAAGAACTTGCCCCTCATTCATAGCTATAGTAATATTCAAGCATTAGCTAAAGACCTCAAAAAGTCTGAGAGGGGACACAACCTTGTAATTGCTAGAAGTTTGTAGTCTAGCACAAACTCTTGATTTTTGCTTTACAATAGGTATGGACAAATAAAACCTTTCTGTTGGGTTCAAAAACTAGCACTAATCCATGTTAAATGTTTGCTCTGATGGGGTTAAGTCTTATGTGCTTGGAGAGATTCCCTCAGTGAAGGATCGAATTACCATTGTTCGCCAACTTTGGGATCTTACACAAGATGTTCTGGTAGGTTATTATATTTATTCACATATTCCAAGTCAAGAAGCCCTCTTGACATGAAGGGGTTTCCTAATTAAGATATTTTATTTTAAATATTTTAATGTTTTTGGTGTATTATACACCACTGGTAATATACTTTTCTGAAATTCAATTCTGAACAGGTTTTAGTTGAACCTGGAACGCCACATGGATCTAAAATCATTTCTCAAATGCGATCTCATATATTATGGATGGAAAAAAGAGTGAGCGGGTTATTTCCTGTTGATTTTGCTTGCTTTCTTGTGTTGTTTATTAATGGTTGTGATATTTTCGTATACTCATTTGACTGCATTTGTGTTTCAAAAAAGCCCGAAAACCCAAGAAAAGGAAACTTCTAAGGAAATTGTAGCTCTCAAAGCTGGGGCATTAATTGTTGCTCCAGTAAGTATAGATGTTTTTTTTGTTTCTTTCATCATGGTCTAAATGCTGAATTGTACTTTTCAACATTTTCTATCTTTATGTATCCTTGAAAAGATAAATTACTAAATTTCTTTTCTTGATGCAGTGCCCTCATGATGGGCCATGTACATTGGAGAATACTGACAAGTACTGTCATTTTGTTCAACATTTGCAGAGGACATCTTCACAACGTACATATAAGGTTCACCTTTTGTTCTTTTCTTGTATCGTTTACACAGGAAGATTCAAATGAGTAGGATTTTACACAGATGGAGGTAGGGATGTTCAGATTGGACAATGATTTATTCCTCCATTCATTCTAGTAATTATTCTTGGTATGTTTTATCTTCATATGAGTACATTGACTTGGCATCAAATGCAAAATCTAATGCAATGATGTGTCCCATGGCGGTAGTCTAAGAGCCATCTTTATTTTTGGCCTTCTTTTTTCGTTTATTGTTGTTCTCTCTCTGTTTGATTAGATGGAGTAAGTAGATTTTTGTTTTTGAAAATTTTCAAGTACATACTCTCTTTCTAAGTCAGCGGAATCCTTTATTAAAAACCCCCTTTTGGAGGATTCCATCAAATATGAAGATTGTTCCCCTACTTTCATTTGGTTCTCACTCATTCTTCCTATTTTTCCTCCCCCTTTGCTCCATTTTCTTTCTTTTTTGTGTTTTCCTTGTTCTTTCTCGTTATATCTTCTTCTCTCTTGCACTGAATAAAATTTATTCTGCTTGTCTCCATCAGATGAAATTATGAGTTTAATCACTAAAGTCTGCTCTGTTCATTAATTTTTTTGTAGCGTTCTAAGGGTAATCCTCTATGTGGCTTTGAAGATGAAAAATTTTGCCATGTTGCTTTCAGACGTCGACAACGACCTCAGTCAGTATTCTCTTCTTTTATGTAAAATGCCATATTATGTAATCTGCAGAAAGTATTTCATAGTATTCAGAAGTTATAGGTTTGAGCAATATCCAAGGCTAAGAGAATCATAAATTAAAAGTATATGTTTGTTGATATGAGTCAATTCCTTTTAATAAAATTAAATCTAGTATCATCCCTGGTTGTTAACTGAAATACAAAAAGCTTTTATTATCCTTTATTTTCAGTTTCCAAACTTTGATAATCCAGGGTCTTATACTAACCATCACCACATCATGTGTATTCTCTCCCCATGATACACTCTTCAGTTGTCTTGTGTCAGTTAACGTTGTCCATGATTTTATATAAACAGGGAATCTTGGCCTCTTGATGGCATAGAATTTGAGACTTTGAAAGAGCAGCATGCTAAAAGGAATCTAGAAGACCTTGAAACCGACCATGGTATGTCCCAACATTTGTTTACCTCCCATATTCTTGAGATTTCTTGTGTTGTAACTTGTGACATGATTTGGAGGTTGCTTCTACGTGTGGACATGTTTCACACTACTTATTCTTTTGCATTTTTCACAGCTGTTAATTCTATAACATTTTTTGTTTAAAAAACAAAATGACCTATGCAGAGGATTTGATCAAATTAAATGAAGCAGCTGATATTGTACCATTTGAAGAAACGGATCCAACTAACCATGACTCTGATGTTATGGAAGTCGATAAGGATGATGATGACAATGACGAGGAAGATGAAAAAGATGGTAATGATGAAGAAACAGGTCATGCTGATCTTGGAGGTGGTTGGGGAAGGATTATCTTCTCGCCGGTTCATAGAGGCAGGCAGGTTGCAATGAACATCTGCAGATCGACCAATCGAGATGCCTCTGAGGGCTCATTTGAGCGTATAGTTGTCACACAGAGTAAGAATCCAGCATTACACCATCAGGCCCGGAGATCTCTCTGGGGTGACTTGTGGCCCTCTTGAACCAATCTAACGTGTTCAGCCTCCTTTTAAACCACTGATGCAAATGCCATTGTATTACGTTAAACGCTGATTATATATCGCTAATTGGTTGATTGATTGATATTTGATCATATTGTTCTGTATCCTCTGTGTGCCTCGTCTCATGCATTAACAAGAAACACGACTTCTGTTGCTTGTTATAGTTCCTAGAAGGAGATAGGAGTTTGAAGACATTATCACGAAAACACTGAGCTACCATCTAATTAGGATATGAAGATGTGAAGGTACCATGAAATGACTGTATTTGCTTCAGCCTATGCACTAGAACGAAAAGCAAAGCATAGCCTTCCTAGAAGATAAGAGGAAGACTTTCAAAGAAGACCAGAGTGATATTAGTCCAAATGCCTTCCTTTTGGTATGGGAAGAGGCGGTGGTAAGCCATGACTAGCCACATTAAAGAATTCTGTTAAAACACAATCTATAAACAAATTAAAGAATCATTACATCTTGTATACAGGGAGTAATCCAATACAAAAATTAAACCCTAGCCACTAAAGTGGAATCTGGTCGGAGTTTGCCGAGATAAGCCACTGCAGTCTTGCATGTCCTGATTCAACTCTATATATAATACACTTCAGAATCTATTATTGAGGGCCACATGAACCTAATGTTACAACAATTAAGCATCAATGGGACTTATGATGCTCAAACAACTATAGCTAGACTATGAGCAGTCTAAATTCGAATTGGTAACCCATAATTGCAGTAGGTTCGAATCTTTCCATCCCAGGTTGCAGCAACAATTGCAAGACCCCACAAATGAGGAGAACTTAACTTGCTCTGGCAAGCATTTTTAAGAATCTTTAACTTTGATTTGCACATTTCAGGTGTTATCTTCGCAGGACTTGAATTAGGAAGTGCCTCTTCTGGCCAAGTCATGGGACCCTTCATCAAAGACTCCAATAGATGTCGTGTCAAGGAGAGACAATCTGGTGAAGAGTGGGACATTTTCTGTTCCAGGTCCGCCTTAGGATTCTGATGCTTCTGCTGGTTTATGAAGCTATTCCTCCGCACATTCTCACTCAAAGTTGATGATGGAAGTGATCCTGGCATGGTTTCAACACCACACCATGGTATAGCAACCGATACATTATGAGACAGGAAACTCTCGCAAGACCAAATTTTCTTAGTTCGGGAAGAGTTCTTATCTTGATTTGTGTAGTTCCAGATGTAAACTTTAGAATCCTCACTTGCAGAAATGACATGTTTCCCATCTTGGGTGAAAGTTGCAAACATCTGACTGGCAGCAATCCGAAACCCTGATGCTGAAATAGACAGCAAACAAGCTAAAATTAGAACATAAGCAGCTGGAATGGTGAAGATTTCAAAATCATAGCGGATACCACCTTAGGTGGTCACATAGAGAGCAACAAGATATTGTAAGACCATCTGGGATGATAGTTTGCAGACCAAATATAGGAGAACACCTAAATAAACACTCACCCTTGAATTTGCATACGACATCTACTCCAGATAATACCCGCACAAGGGAATCAGCTGACGTGACAATGACTTTGCTTGGGTCAGTTGTGGAAAACTGGAAAGGAAAGAATGAGTTAGGCTTCTCCCAGCAGATAATGAAGAAGGAAAAAGATTTGAAAATATAAGAAAAGATAAAATTCAACCACCTGAAAGCCAGTGATCCTCTTTCCAGACAATTTCTTTTTGCCTTGTAAGCATATTTCAGCTTCCAGTCTCAATTGATTGTCTAACCAAAAGTACGCAATGTTAATTGAGGTTCAACTGGGAAATCTTCAAAATTATAGAATCATTATTGGTTTGGGAAATAGGGCACATGCTCAGTACAACATTGGACAGATATTTTACTAAAACAATTTCGCCAATAGATAACTCTAGGAGATTGAATAACTTTTTATGCACACATAATTATCATCACAATATGAAGATATTTCAGGAAATGGCAACGCCAAGAGAAATGAATTAGTTCTGATGCACAAAAAATTACCAAGGGCAATCTAGCATCTATGATACTCTAGATTGTTGTTTTCTGTAAATGTAAGAATAACACAAATCATCGTTCTGCAGTGCATTTGGAGCATTAATCATATTAAAAGCACTTTCTATTCTCAAATAGGATGAAATGTCATTGACCGTCCTTAAACTTAAGAAAATCAATTTCCTCCAAGTTTATATGATTGCAATGAAGTCAACACAAAACTCGGGAACAATTTCCATCTGTTTATCCCAAGTCAGAACCATGATAAACATCTTAACCCTCAAAGCAATAAATAAGGTCATCTACCACCAGCCAATTCTGACAACAATAAATAAAGCCACTAATGACACTGAAAGAGTACATGGATGTTATTCAAAACCAACAGATAAGCTATATTCATTGTTGACATATCTTCAATTAGTATAGTTAAATTTATAGGTTTAACTTGTACATACCTATGATTTCATAAAAACGACAGTTGCCAATCATGGAGCCCACCATTCCACCCTACAATTATCAAGCAAGGAAATATTTTGATGATTCTATTAAATTTTGGAAGTTTACATTTGCAGGACTCATATAAGCAAGGGTTTTTCTAATCTGTGTCATTACTTTAAGGGTCATTTATTGCATTATTACTAATTAATTTCTATAGAAAAAATAATGATTTTAATTTTTTCAAATGTCTAATTAAAATCATCCAAATAGCACTGGCTTTGAAGAAAATATCTAGTTTTGTATTTTCTTATGATAATTAATTATTAAAATATGTAATAAATGCACCTTTAACAGGTTAAAAAAACCTATAAGCAAATGATTCAACAAACCTTTCCATCAGGTCGATAGCTGACAGCAGTGACTATATCCCTTACATCAGTGTAATCAACAACTTTACAGTGAAACACTTCCCAGATTCGTACTTTTCCATCAATTGAACCACTGATGAAATAATTATCATCCACAGGATTGAATGCAACAGAAGTCACTACATTGATAATAACAGGAATTAAATAATCAGTCATAAATGAAGAAGAGCAAAAGTTTTGTTTAGCGTTAGGGGCTCAAGGGGGCATTTAAAAGACACAAATCATTGGTCAACTAACAAAAACAAATGATTGATCATATATGCTATTAAAAGAAATATAGATGGATGCAAGTGATAAGCAATGCTCACCATAATTGTTATGAGAGAAAACTCTTAGGCATCTTTCATCTCCCACTTTCCATAGACGAACAGTTTTATCAACAGATGATGACAGAAGAGACTAAAGCAAGTGCAAAGAAAGGAAATTAGATTACTTGTGTGAACTTTAGGAGGCTTGCAAATTTGATCAATGAAGAAAACCAATATAAGGAGTAAGCTTCAATTTTACAAGTAATAGTGATGCTGATTAGCGAACTTAAAAAAAGATAAAGAACATTAGGAACCTATAATATGTTCCCAAATACTTACCCCTCTCTTAGACCATGAGAGATCCAAAATTTCACCACTGTGTCCATGAAATTCATGTGCAGGCTTCTCCAAAATCTGGAAGCCATTTGGTGGGAAAATAACACAAGTCGAGTCAGCTGGTATCCATGGTCTCGGCATTTTATCCACTTCCCCTTTACCCACATTCAGAGGGACTAGCTGTGAAAGATGATTCATCTTGAAGTAGAGACATGAAGGGTCATTACATTGTGTGTCAAATGAATCTATCCTCTCATCCTCAATAACCTTCCACACACGCACAATACAATCTTTGCCAGCACTTGCTAAGTATTGTCCATCCAGACTAAACTTCATTGTCGATATTGACCCGTCATGTGCTACAAATTCTTGTCCAGGGTAAAGGGAAGACAGCTCCTTGGAACGCTTGGAATATGTATGAATCCGAAGTCTTTTCATCCTTGCCTTGGAAGTTGATTCATTATCACTACTGGTCTTCAACATATCTTCCCCATGATGGTCAACAAGATGCGCCATGACACCTAATTTCCTCAACCAACTTTGTTTCACCTTTTTTGGAACAACCAAAGGCTTTTCATTGTTAACTTCTGCATGCAAGAGCTGTTTATCCAAAGAAGATGATAAGAGAGTCATCTTATTATGCTCTTCAGAACTAACAGACTGGTTAGAGAATGCTCCTTGGGAGCAGTGTAGTATTCCATCACAACCCCGTTCATCCATTCCACCATCCAAATTATTGACAGCATGCCCAATGTCATCATCCAAAGCATGATTTTCCCTGGGTTCCTCAGCATCATCTGCCCAAGTAGAGAAAAGAGATTGACTTGAAAAAAACTCATGTTCAAAATTTGAAGTCCTCAATACCGCCCCACCATCTTGAGTAATTCTATCAATACCCAATTGGATTTCATCACTTGGGGAATCTCCTTCATCTTTTTTAAAGTCAAAATCCTGTTCTAAACCTAAACCCAAGCATCTTTGGAATCTACGCCGGCGCTCATTAACACTTTCTGGACTTCTACACCAAACCTTGTACTGTAAATTATCTAAATAATCATTGACTAAATCAAACCTATCATTAGAACAGCTTTCCTCAGAACAATCTGAAACACCATCAGACAGAGAAGAGATCTCCTCACGGGCATCAAAGAACCGATCCGCTTCCTCTTCAGTATAACTCCCCATCTATATATTTATCCCAATCCGTGAAATCCTGAAAGTTTAAGCCAAATTCCAAACACCAAAAGATTAAAATTTTGACACCCAATTCTATTATGTAAATCAATAAATTCATTCCTTAACAACATAAAATCCACAAACTTGAAACGATAAACAGAAAGAAAGAATCTTTAAACATCAAACATAAGATTCTACTAAAACCCATAATCCTGAATCGGTACCTCCAAAAAATCCAACAAATTGAGAACACAGACTAGAAGAGAAGATGATTTCCCCACCTGGGTCACCACGAAATGTTGGTAAAACCCCAGAATTCCACGGACCATCCACTGTCTTCTTCTCTGGGTGACAAACAGCAGGAGTTGTCCAGTTGAGGAGGCTAAAATTGAACATAAAAAACAGTAAATTGGAAAGGCAGGGTATTGGCGGAAGACGATTGGGGGGGAGCAAAGGAAGGTCCTGAAAATCAATAGGTAGTTGTTTGTTTGTTTGTTTGCCTCTCTTCCTAGAGCTGTTTAGACCGTAATTCAATTTTCGATCTATCTGCCACTTTTGTCCATTCTGGTTTGGTTTCCACAAGACAACGAGTAAGAACAGTTCTCCTAGTTTTATTTCCAGTCAAAATGTCGGCGAAAAAAGTCAAAATTTTTGGCGATATTTACCATTTTGCCGGTTACTTACGTTTTACTTTTACCCCAATTCCCATTTTCGTGGTTGTAGTTGTAAGTTGTAACCATGCATTCGTCATGGTAGTGCGTAACGCTGGAACCACACGTTGTACAGTGATTGTGGGTTTATATATTTATCCGCGAAAAAATATTTATCTAACTGCAATAATAAAATATTAGGTAAATTTTTTTAAAAATTTTTATTAAAAAATTAAATATCAATTACGTAAATAATAGTTTAATAATTATCTCTTTTTATTAAAAATAAAAGATCTGAGTTCGAGTCACAAAAATACTGATAGGGTAAGTTAAGAGATAAAAGATAGTTATTTCTCATTATACAATCAAAATAAAAAAAATTAAATTAGATTTTTTATACGTTATTTTAATTTTTTAAAGATGTTTTTTAAAAATAATGTTGTTTTAAAATATGTTTTATTTAGTTTTTCACAAATTTAACTAATAAATAATAATTATATATAATTACTATTATATATAATTACTATTTTACAGTTTAAATATATCAAAGTGTAAAATAAAAAACATTAAATAGAAAAAGCCTTTAATATCAACGCATCTACTTGATTTTAATAATAAATGTTATATAATTTAATGTAATTTAAATTACACAATAAATTATATATATACTTGGTATTTTTGTAATTGAAAATCTTATGTCATAGATATTAACCTTTGATAATTATCTCTTCAAAAAATATTATTTATTTATATAATTAATATAATTTTAAAAAGTAAAAAATATTAAAAATAATAAAAATACTTATAAAATTATTCAAATATTCTTTACAAATTATGAATTATGTGAGAAGAACAATTAATAGATTTATCCATTAGATTGGATTGCTTATCCAGCACACTAAACGATCACATCTAGCTTTATGATTTGTCTTTTATATACTTTAACCAAAGTTTCAACAAATTAATTTTTAATATTTTAATACGACTTCTTTTAAGAAGTGGAACATGAAATAATGTTCTTTTAATATCCAAATTAAAGGTGGTTCGGCCGACCACTTCTAAGATGTGAAATTTTTCCATATAAAACTATAGAAGTAGTAGTATATTTGAAAGTACAATATTTAAAACTATGCAATAAAAAAATTATTAAAAACAAAAAAAATTTCTTAAAAAAGAAGTATGATTTCATGTTATCGAAACCACATTGCATAGGGAAAAAAAAAATTGCAAAAAGAAGAAAATATAAATGGATAATACGATGCCACGTCTCGTAAGAATGGTTCACTGGTGAGTGGTCAGAGAATATGGATTCTGACGTGTCAAACTGTGTATGGTGTATTGACTTTGAATTGGTAAGGGCGGCTTGGTCGGTCAACCTCAATTTTTTAACATACTATTTATTATTAGAAAGATATTTTTTTTATTTTTTATATAATTTAATACATTATTTAAATAATTAATTTTTTTATTCATGTGATATTTATGATATTAAAAATATCTACTTATTAAATGATATATAAAAATTATATTAAAAAATAATATAAAAAAATTATCTTTATAATATCACCTCTAAAAAATATTACATATTATTAAAATGATTAACTCTTTTTATTTAATTGAGTACTATAATATTTAATATATCCACTTATTAAATGATATATAAAAATTATATTAAAAAAT